CTTTCATGGTTTGTACAAAAAAAGTTTTAGTTTTTCATTTGATAATGAAATTAGAGCCATTACTACTTTTTATAATGGTGTTTTTTATTTTAAAGCATTGCCTTGTAATGGTGTATATGAAACTGTGATGGTTGTAGTCAACTTAGGAAACAATGTGTTGCACATTGATTCTTCGAATAGTTTGGATAAGGCATGCTTGTGGCATTGTTGTCTTGGACATGTCAGCAAGAAGCACATAGGCCAACTCCAAAAGGCTGGAGTTTTGGATTCATTCGACTTAAGGTCGGATGACACTTGCGAATCTTGTTTGCTTGGAAAGATGACCAAGTTACCCTTCACCGGTTCTTGTGAACGGGGTGAAGGTTTGTTGGATCTCATATACACAAATGTGTGTGGACCCTTCAGAACCGCTACAAGGGATGCTAACCGCTTATATGTGACTTTTATTGATGATTACAACAGATATGGCTATATCTACTTAATCAAACATAAGTCAGAAACCTTTGGAAAATTCAAAGAGTTTAAACAAGAAGTGAAGAATCAACTCGGCAGGAGGATAAAGATGCTCCGATCCGATCGGGGTGGTGAGTATCTTAGTATCGAGTTCCAAGACTATCTTAAGGAATGTGGGGTTGTTTCACAATTGATGCCACCTAGAACACTACAACTTAATGGTGTAGCTGAGAGGCACAATCGAACCTTGTTGGACATGGTTCGTTCGATGATGAGTCGAGCTTTGTTACTTATCTCATTCTGGGGGTATGCCTTAGAGATTGTGACCCATATCCTTAATCTAATACCAACTAAGAAGGTTGCCAAAACACCTCACAAGACGTGGACATGGAAGGTTCCCTCGTTAGAACACATCAAGGTTTGGGGTTGCAAGGCTTTTATGAGATGCGAGACTCATGAAAAACTCGAACCTCATGGTGAGCGATGTATTTTCATCGGCTACCCACAATCATCCTTTGGATATCTCTTATATAGAACGAGTGACAATGTTATCTTCGTTGCGAGGAGACGAGTCTTTCGCGAGAGAGAACTCATAGGCCAAGGGGACAGTGGGAGACAAATTGACCTTGAAGAGCTTCAAGAGTCAAGCGGTGAAGGAACCTCAAACACTAGTAATCAAATTGAGGAGGAAACTCATGTTGAACCAGTTGATGAATTCTTACCTCTGAGGCGCTCCAGTAGATTTAGTGTTCCACCTGTGTTATATGGTTTCCATATAACATCCGAGGGTGATACATTTATTAGTGATAACACACTGGTAAATTTGGATGAACCTAACAATTACAAGGAAGCCATGGTAGGCCCCAAGTCTTCAAAGTGGAAAGAGGATATGGACAACGAGATTCATTCCATGTATGGCAATCAAGTTTGGAACTTGGTTGACAATGTATCGGGTCGTAAGACAGTTGGGTGCAAATGGATCTTCAAGAAGAAGACCGACATGGATGGGAAAGCACACACATATAAGGCGCGACTGGTTGCGAAGGGCTTTACTCAAACTCATGGAGTTAACTATGATGAGACCTTCTCACCAGTAGCGAAGACTAAATCTTATTGGGTTATGTTAACCACAACTGTATTTCATGACTATGAAATATGGCAAATGGATGTTAAAACCGCTTTCCTTAACAGGAAGTTGGCTGAAGATGTTTACATGAGTCATTCAGAGGGTTTTGTCAATGCAAAGTACCCTAATAGAGTGTGTAAGCTTGAGCAATCTATTTATGGATTGAAACAAGCATCTCGTAGATGTAATCTTTGTTTCGATGAGAAAGTCAAAAGAGTTTGGATTTTCGAGAAGTGAGGATGATTCTTGTGTGTATTTCAAGGCTAATGGGAGTACATTTAGCTTTTAGGTGTTGTATATGGATGACACACTACTCATAGGAAATGACATTCCAACCTTACAGGAGGTTAAGTCCTGTCTTGGGAAGTGTTTCGCTTTGAAGGACCTTGGAGAAGATGCTTACATCCTAGGGATAAGGATATTAAAAAATAGGAGTAAAAGACTAATTGGACATAGTCAAAGTACCTACTTGGACATGGTGTTGAGACGATTCAACATGGAGAAATCCAAGAAAGGTGACTTACCCATCCAAGGCAATACCAAACTGAGTAAGACTCAGAGTCCGAGTATAGAGGCTGAAATAGCTGAGATGAGTCGAGTACCATATGCTTTCGCAGTTGGCTCGATGATGTATGCTACGACTTGTACTCGCCTTGATGTGGCCTTTTCCTTGAGCATGGTCAGTAGATATCAAGGGAATCTTGGTAAAGCTCACTGGACCGCGGTAAAGAATATTCTTAAGTACCTATGCAAGACTAAGGACTAGGTCCTTACTCTTGGTAGAAGTGATGACTTAAGAGTCACAGGGTATAGTGACACTAGCTTTCAGATCGATAGAGATAATTTCCGCTCTCAGTCGGGTGGGTTTTTACCCTGAATGGAGGAGCACTAACTTGGAAAAGTTCCAAACAGGAGATTGTGGCTGATTTAACGTGCAAATCAGAGTACATAGCAGCAAGAGAAGTGTCGAAGGAGGCGATATAGCTAAAGAACTTCATCGAAGACCTTGGAGTGGTACCAGCTATAAAGGAGCCTATAGAGATTTTCTGTGACAATGAGGGTGCGATTGCCTTAACCAAGGAACCAAGGGAACATGACAAATACATGCACATTGTCAGGATATATCACTTCATAAGACATCGGGTGGAAGAAGGACTCATTGTGGTAAAGAGGGTATCATTAGATGAGAACCCAACAGATCCCCTCACGAAGGGACTGAGTAGGGTTAATCATTTGCAGCATGCGAGGAGCATTGGGCTGAAGGATGATATTAGTTTTAATGATTAGATAGCTATTTTGAAACTTGTAATAGATAAAATGTAATTGACATTTGATGATTAAATAAAAAGTGTTTTATTTATGAGTAAAGTTACTATCTTGTGTCAATTGTTTACTATTGTTTCATTTTGCATGTTTTGATTTCCAAAATAATTATATTATTCAAACTGTCCATAGTCGATCATACTTTGGAAGTAGGTATTGAGGCAAGACTGTCATGTATTTGGCTTGTAGATTCTCTGAAGTGTTTTAGACATAGCAAGAGATTGCTATAACATTCACGAGTGCTCATAAGGTCTGAGTATTGGACTAAACCCACACTCATTTGAATTACTTCATGGAATTTATCACGAGTGATCGTGAGACGATAATATCATATAAGTCTTCAAACCAGATATATGAGTTGTTGACTATGAGTTGGTTGTACATTGATAGTGCAAAAATGCATCAGTAGCTTGATGTTATAAAACACGTTGTTGTGTATAATTTAACAAATAGTTAGTACAATCATATAATGTCGAGATTTATTAGTTCCTTTTAATACTTGGAGGACTAAAAGCGATATCTTGGGCTCATCGATGATTTTGTTTTGACTTATGTGTCGGGCCCGATCGGGACTAAATTGATGTGTTCAATTAAGTTCTCTGTCAAACAAATCGGAAATCGAGAAACAAACTACTAGATAATAAGTATGAGTTTGTTCCATGTATTTTTTCAACTGATATCTTGAAGAACAGAGGATTATATGATCCCTTATCTGAAGGACGTATCACTGACTGGGTTAGAATTCGACAGCGGGTTGCATGTGCACCTTGTTTGTGATCCTCAATATCTCAGTCACAAACTTGAAGGGCATGATGAATATCTTCCCGCAAAGAATGTTTAGCCCACTTATAATAATGGAGAGCTTGTCTACGCTGATGACAATAATGGTACTGATGAACATGATCACAATGAGTGTGTTGGTTTGTAACCTACTTGAGAATAAATGGTTAAGGAGTGTCTTGGTTTGTAACCACACTTATGAGTAAAAGAATGAAAAATATAAGTGTTTAGTTATAGTTTATGTTAAGTAGGACAAAAGATGAGAGGTAGTGTTAAGTATGCAATGTGTTTGCATAAGAGTTGATATGGTAGTAGTTGTCCCATATCCTCCATCGTGAATGGATTGATAAATAGAGCTTACCAATTGCATTGAAAATACATGTAAATAGATAGTAGATTGATATGTTGGGTTGTGAGGTTAAAAAAGAAAATAACATTAGAAATGAGCCATAAAATGAGAAAATAGATATAAACGTTAAGAAAAGATTTCGAGGACGGAATATCTTAAAGAGCGGGACACTATCCAGATGGACACAGAACTATCATAAAATACCTCTTTACACTAAGTATAACAAACGATAATATAAAGAAAGTAACGACGAGATATTTACGCAAAAATAGATTTTGAGACAATTTATGTTCTATGTTCTATTTAACTATATGCAACTGATCATGGATTGATGTAAATTAACAAGTGTTTCTACGAATTAAATGATTAAATTACCAAATTACAACACTCAAGTTGTGTTTTTCAAAGTTTGCTTGCTCCAAAAGTTATTCTTGTCCAAAAACCAAATATGTCAAGGTAATAATTGGGGTTTATGTTTATAAGTTAGAAAACATTTGGGAACCAAGTTTACTTTGACTTAATCGAGTCACTTAACCAGAATAATAATATTGACTTTATGAGCATTTTTGACCCCGATTCGGCCAAGTCAAAATCAAGGCAAAGTTGATTCGATCGAGTCACTTCTTTTGGGACTCGCAATCGTGTTATTTGATGAAATTGACCGAGTCAAACCCTACGCAGTTTGAATCGACCGATTTAAACTCAAGGCAAACTTGACTCGATTCAGTCATTGTGGATCCAAAATTAAAATTAAAGAATTCAGTCATTTCTCAAGGTAGCATGTTGATGTATCACGAGGACTCCAATCGTATGGACCATGCTAATACTTGTGTTATTTACTTATTTCATTTTTTTTTTGTCCATATGTATCATAAATGTTGGAAACCCCCAATGCTCCCTCACAAAACTAAAGAAACATACCCTCTTCTTAATATGTGAGAAATATATAGAGATAAGAAGTAATCTTGACTCAAAAAAATATACTTTTTCATTCATACGTATATGGCTATATTTATAGCCTAACAAAACGTGTGGAAATTAATAAAATACTGATTCTACCAAAAGACTAGGTAAGTGGCTGACTCCTTCTACCCAATGTACCCCTAATATGCGGTCATAGCTTTTCCCTGTTTCTTTATTATTAAAAAAAAATATGCATAACTTAATCTAAGACCATGAAGACAACCCAATTTAATCAAGATTACCCAACATTCACCTCCCTAATCTTGATCTTGATGATCTTGATCTTGCTTCTCTTGCTATAACCTTGTTCAGACATCTTGCTGTCTCATGCCTTTTTCATTCCCAAAATGTGACCAACCTTACTGATTGCTTTACCTTCCTGCTTGCTTTCTTGCTTTCTTTCTTATGTTTGTTGACTACTACTTGTGATTTTGCTGCTACTTGCTACAGACTTCTGGTTTGCTACATGCTACAAACCTCTTGCTTGCTATCTTGTTTTTCTTGCTTGCAACTGACCCTCTCCTTCTTCTTAATCACTTGTTGTTTGCTTCTTCTTTCTACCTGCTAACAAACAACAAACTTCTGCTGCTGCATCTTTCTTCTGATTAACTACTTATCTTTCATTCTTGCTTTCTTTCTTGTCTGCTACTTGCTACATACTACTTGCATTTCTTGCTTCTTTCTTCATCTCTTTCTTTCAATTGCTGCCAGTCAGACCATCTTTCTGTCTTTTTCCTCCAAAACAGTTGATGACCCACTGCTTCTGCTGCCCTACAACCAAAGGCTCATCCCTCCTTCAAAAGTCGACTCTCAAACCTACCCGCTTCAACCTTCGCTCTATACCAAGTGTTGGAAATCAGGCCCTCAATGCCCCTTACAAAACTAAAGAAAAATACCCTAAGGTTAATATGTGAGAAATATATAGAAAGAAGAAGTAAAAAAACTGCACTTTTTCATTCATACGTAGATGGCTGTATTTATAGCCTGACAAAACTTGTGGAAATTAATAAAATAATGATTCTACCTAAAGACTAGGTAAGCGTGTGGCTTACTCCTTCTACCCAATCTGCCCTTAATATCCGGGCATAGCTTTTACCTGCTTCTTTATTATTAAAAAACAAACATGCATCATGAAGACAACCAAGTTTATTAATCAAGATTACCCAACAATAAATAACCCTAAAAAGGATTCAAGAACCGAAGACGAATAGTTTCTTGATTATTCGCACCACCGTCTCCGATGGTAGAGAGGATGGCCAACGGTAAGGTTACTTGTTAACCGACTCCGATGCCTCATAGTGTTTTGAGATTAATTTCATTGCCTTCGCATTGATCATAATGTTATATCTATACAAGAAACTTCTTAAGAGTTAATGATTACTACTAACTACTAAGTATTATTTATAAAATAATGTTTATCTAATAGTTATTAACAAATTCATGTCTGTTGTTATTGTTTACCAAATCGTTTGTTAAATTAAGTCATTTACTTATCCAATCTAACATTGTTGCCAAAAAGGCACTCCAATATTTACCAATTTAAGTCATGATCTAACCTGTTTTTTCTTTGTTGCTAATTTAACAATGATTATGGGTCGATCTGTAAAAAGTTCTACGGTGTTGCCATGATCTCTTGTAGTCTGTAACTATGATTTGTGTACATTGCATAACTGCATGTGATATTTTATACACAAAGTACACGGGTCGATTTGTAAAAAGTTCTTAAGCTTGATATATTTCTGTTTATTTCTTAACTTTTTCCAGGATATCGGTATAAGTTTATTGCTTCAGCCGTCAAATTAGTGATGTATACCAAGTTACATTAATCTGTGCACAACAAGTGCGATATGTTATATTATGTGTAATGTTAAATCCATTCTCAGTAACAAAGAATTATGTCCAATTAAGCTTATTCCTATGTATATGCATGGTTTAATTTGTCTTCAATAATTAAAGCTGGCATCGTAAAAACCTCTAGGATCCTTATGGCTCAGGAAATCCAACCTAATTACTTAAAAGTTTACAGTTGATGAGTACTTTTGACCAGCTTTATAGTTCGCAGGAACCGCATTACTAGCTGTAATGGTTTTCCCATCACCTGACGTCAGCTTGAAAGAATATGGAGGTTTGAATAATACGGCAGTGTCTTTTTGCCAAACTGCACCCCATATGTTTTTCATTGGAGTAAAAAGTGGAGAACCAGCTGATGCCATTTCCACTTTAGTTAAAGCACCATCCCCATTAACATATTCTATTGCTGTCGCAAACCAGTATTGGTTGGTTTTCTTGTCAATTTTGAACGCGATCTTCGTACTTCCATAGCTGCATGGCACCCTATATATATATATATATATATATATATATATATATATATATATATATATATATATATATATATATCACATGGCAACGATCGAGCTTGTTAATTTTCAGCAATAAGAAAGCAGCCAAAGAAACGAAACCTTTTATGTTTTTAGAACATCGACAAGACTCTAATGACTCACTTTTTGAACTGAATGTCGACTTGGCCTAGCATTCGTAGAGCATGCTCTTGGCCAGGGGGTCCCATAGCACCAAAAGCATGGCCACTTAAATCAAAATGGTAAGGGATATCGTTACATTTTCCTGGACACTCATCAGTGATCGTGATTTTAATTGGTTTACCTGTGCAGTATGGTTTACGCGAACAAAATACCTGGGTATATATGTATGTATGTATTTGCAACGCGTCAATATATAGTGTAAATTATCTTTTGTTTAATGTTATAGAGAAATAATGTTAAGAATAAATGAAATAACCAACATGCCTCAAAGCAATGTCCGCATCCCTGGCCTTTAAGAAAGAATTTAGCATTTCCTGCTGCTATCATGGACGAGAACGGGGGATCTTTAGAATCGTCATCCCATCCACAAGCAGCAGCTGCTCATAATCACAAAATACAAATCAGTAATGAACAATGTAAAGTATATATAATGATGTCACATAGAATAAATAGAATGACAAGAGAACATAAATAGAATAAGATGAATCATAACATAATCTTATGTTATGCTATTTGATTGAGTAAGACTAAATATGTAGGACTGATAACCATTATTGATTATTCTTGTAACGTGAATTTTCGGTTTGTTACCTTTTCCGGAACCGGTTTCTGTCCCATACCATGTTGCCAAACCAGTGTTATTGGCGCCAAGGACAGAATATAAACAAGAAGAGAAGTTTACTAAAATAATTGTAACAATAAAAGGAGTTATACTTAACATCTTTTACTAATGAAATGAAGTGGATGAGGTGTTTTTAAGAAATTTTGAACCAATTTATAGCACCACATGAGTATCCTGTAATCATGAATTTGATTTTGCAAGTATAGCGTACATGATCGAGTTGGTGTTTATCACGTAAGAAAATTGTATGTATAATGCATATGCATATATGTATTGGTGTAATTTAAGGTTATTTATTTATTATATATGTTTTTTATGTATGTATTGATATAAATGTACATTTCTCGTGTCTTTAATTACATAACAATGATTATATAAATTGTGATAACAATTTGTTTGTATTTATATGTGTTGGTCGACAAACAATAAATTTAAAGGAATTTATTAACACAGTTAAATAAAAACTGAAGTTATAATCATTAAATCAATGATCATAAACGTATATAGACAGTGTATAAATTTTTTAGGATATTCAAATAAATTTAGTTATTTATAAAGGGTGTTATACTTTGGACATGAACACTATAGAAACCAAGACCCCTATACCAAAGCAGTTAAAAGGCAAGACGTCAGCTCAGTATGTTTGTGCTCTATATATACCTAACTACATGTTATCAGGTTACTTTCTACATCATGTAAGAATAAATTTCGTGTCACAACTCACAAAGCTAGTTTAGATAAACATATAGCACATATATTTCCAGTATTAATGGCTATAATATGTACATCTATTCAAAATACCTACAAGATATAAGATAAAAAAAATCAAAATACAATAAATTTCTATTTTCAGTGGTATTAAAATAAATGATATATATTGCGGGGAAAAGATGGATTTTGGGTAAGGAGGTGCAGAGCTTCTTACAGAACCAAGTACTGTAGAGAGGCCTGTCTCTCCTTTTTGTAATATTAATTAGTCTCTCGCCTTAATAAAATTTTCAAAGAAAAAAAAAACAAATGGTATATTATTAGAAAACTTTCACTACAAGAATAACATGCAATAGCAGCGATATCTTTAGGGGTATATCAAACTAATGCGTCTGGTGTCGCCACTAAAGGCCGATGCTGATGATCTGCGTCATGTCAACCCCTTTTGTCGAGTTAAGCGACGATCAATTGGCTAGGAAGACGTAAGAACTCCCGCGTTGTTTTTCCTCGGTTATGTCGCCGCAAATGCCCAGACGGCGCCGCTGAAGGCGTCATTGCTAAAAGTTAGCGACGATAAACTCTTCTTCGTCCTCAGTTTCTTTCTCAATCAACTATTTCCCTCATTCTCTTTGCTCACCACCGCCGAGACCAATTCAATTAATTCACCGACACACGGTGTTCCTCTCCGACTTAATTGTGGACAACAGGTGGTTGCAATCAAGCAATCCGATCTGAAAGGATAAAAGGTACATATGGTTATGTTCATATGTTTCTCAATGCTTATGAATTTCAGGAACAATGGTGCCTCCCAAAGGCTTGCAAACTTCAACTTTAAGTAGCTTTTTGTGTAATGGAATTGGAATGGTTAATTACAATGGAATGAAAATAAGATGTTTATTTTTCCAGATGAAATGGAATGGAATGGATTGATTCTATCCGTTTTGTTAAGTTTCATTCATAATCTTTACCTACAATGTGTCAATAGCATCTCAGATCTTAGAATATACAAATCCCAACTAATGGCGCAGAAAAAAGGGGTTCTAAAAGATTCATAACTTTTCCCCTGATAATACGACAATAAAAGGTCTTGAGGTGACGAACTCGGCCTATGTATTGATAGCTAGACCATACAGTACAGTCCAAAACATTGACTAACATTTCACGGCTTAACATAATAAGCCTAATTAAACAGATGAGCCAACAAAACATAGCTCAATAAGCAGCAGTTGCATGACGTCTGAAGCACATGTTAGCCGATTAATGCAAACCCTAGAACAAGGAGTGTGCAGAAAAGAATTACAGTAGAAACGTCGAACAGCCCATCCTCAAAGACACCACAAGACAATTCAAAATATGTGTATACATATAAAACAAAAAAAGGGGAAGAGAACACTTCTGTGACAAGTACAAAGCCAAACGCAAAATTCATAGCTAACAACAACCTGTGTTTTTCACTATACATATATAGGCAACTACTTTACAAAACGATTAAAATGGACAAACACAAATTAAACCTCAGAGTCTAAGGAAGAGTATCCCGGACTCGGCCGGCGACAAAACTAGCGGAAACCATCACAATCTAGCTTCCCCAAGCGAAAGAGGCCCACGAAATCCATCTCAGTAAGGGATGATAGAGCATCATCCACTTCTTCAACCCTTCTCACGACACATCCATGATCTGGGACTTCAGGCTCACCGGCAATTGTGGAATAATCACTTAGTTGTTTCCCCTTTTCAAACCCAAGGGCCTTGCATGCCTCACGAACACCTTGGATCCCGCTGGTAAGTTCTGCACTCTCGATAACTTTCTTAATTACGTGAACCACCCCCTTCTCCAACATCGATTGCAAACCACCTCGGGAGACAACACGATCAACACGAGAATGAGCCAGTTGACGTTGACACCTGGCCAACTCACTCGCTAGCACACCTTTCTCCCAAGTAAGAGAACTTACTTGGCTTTCAAGTCACTTTGATTGGTCCTCAAAAGTGGTTATATGATCTTCCAAAGTGGCCTTCTCACAGGCCACAATACAATTCTGCTCAGAAAGGGCTCGACGATCATCCTCTGAATCATGGAGTTCCTCCCTTATGCTTGCCATGACACCCTGCAAAGTTTTCAACTGCTTTTCATTCACACCAACGCGAAAAACCCGGTTGGCGGCAAAAACCATAAGGGCAGAAGTCTGAGCCGCAGCATAACAAAGGTCACCAGCCATATGAGAGCTTGACTGGCTCGCAAGCGAATTCATTGTGCCCGGGGGTGAGCACAACGACTCCACTCCTAGGCGGCAATGTCTTCCGATAGTAAGGAATCCCTACCAATCACCCTGTCCGGGGCATAGGCCTCGGAAGATAAGGGGTGAGATGAAGTTCCTGTTTCGCCAACCGGGGAAGGCTTCCCCGGTTGGAAAGGACCTCTAGGTAAGCCAAGTGCACCCACAAGCACGAATACTGAATCGAGATCAATTGAGAGTGAACAGGTAAATGACAAAGTCGGTGGCATTGAAGAACTAGGCACCACCACACCCTCCTTGTATCCAGGCACATAAAGCTCACTACCAAGAATACCCCTAATACCACCAAGAATCTTGACCATGAACACATTCCTACGCACCTTATGAGGATGGAGACCTGCATTATCGGACTCAGTCTCCTCTTCCGACGATGGCACCACATGTAAACTTCTCCTCTTCCGAATAGGAGCATTACCTTATTCTACTTGTATTCCTGCAGGCAAACCAGAAGGAGCACGAATCGGTGAGCGAACTGGGGAAACGACCCCAACGGCTGTCCGGGAAGGTGGAGCAGGTCCACTAGAGCCAACATTTACCCCTTCCACCAAGAGAAATCCAACAAACTCTCGCATGCATCTTTTAGACACAGGAGGAGGAAGATCCTCTACAAGATCGATCTCATGGTGATAAAGCTTACCCCGATAGTGACCACTCAGGGCCATCTCCAAAGAAATATCGGCTTCAGGACCTGCGCAAATAAATGTCAAATATAAGAACTCATACGCTAACAAGATACCTTGTTCCTACCCCCTTTTCATTTTTCAAAAAAAAGGGTGGGGGGGGGAGAAGGAGATGAGTAGATACCACATCTCATGATGTATAATTGCACCATCTTCCCATGAGCTCTCCAGGCGGCACTCATACCGGCCGCAACAAGAACGTAATCTCCCCCAGTTCTCCCCAACAACGATGATGTTTCCTAGTTGTTTGCCAAGAGTCAGGTTACTCCCGAACAGTTTGGGAAGGCGGTCAGGAAAGTCCCATGATTTGCGAAACCCACACCCGACAAAGTTCCGCTTAACCCAGAACCATTGCCTCTGCCAATTTTTCTTCGGAGCATCATGTTCAGAGATTAACTAATGAATTCCCCGCCATTTTGATAAAGTACGTGATGGGTTTTAGTATACTACAACATCCTATGGTGCACATACAACCCTGAATACATTGGATCTATGCTTTCACTAATTATACATGCAAATTGTTTCCAAGGCATTAAACCTATAACTAGCATGCAATTGACATATTCAATACATGATACTAGTTAGGATAACACACCTATTTGTTGTAACTTGATTCCATGGAGCTTAAGAGCCTAGTGTCCTGAATGTGACACCTCAAATGGTTCACACAACACCACCAACAACTTGGAATAACTTGATAGAAAAGTTCTTATGCTCAAAATCGGCTAGCCTTCTCATATGAATCCTTTTTTTGGGGGCCGATTTCTTGAGCTATAGGGCCTTTATATATTGTGGCTATTAGGGTTACACCATGTAACTAATTCCTTTCCATATTCTTCATGCTCTATGGGTTAAAACCTCCATGGAGTATCCATGGGTTTAACCTAACATGAAGAACTATGGATCATAAGCCCACATATATAAGAATGAATGATTTACACAATCAATCCTCATATATTTAATTAGTCTCTTTTGATCACAAAATTAATTCCAAATTAATTTTTGATCATTACTAATTAAATAATATGATTTCATATTAATATATTACAACTTATAATATATTAACAAATCATAAATATCGTTTTCTCACAAAAGTCTATCTAAATTGTTCAGATGCCATGCAACCCAAATAGACCATGCCAAATCGGGTCAAGTACATACCAGTTATAGTTACAGACTTAGACACTAATCCAACAGTCTCCCACTTGGATAAGTCTAAAACTATTATTGCGTATGACTCTGTAACCCGACTAGCAACCGTAACTCTTAAAAGTCGTTGTCGTACTCTGAACAAATCAATGACGTGTCCATTAGATAAGCGATCATATATTCCTACATTCTAGATATCATATGGACTGAGACATGGATTATAATCATTCTCTCTGTCCATCTGTTGTTTCCCGACGTCCGATTTATGACAATTGACTAATTGAACAAATCAAATCAGTCCAGGCTCGGTCGAGAACTTACGTTTGTCATCACTAAATCATCGAGGGGCCCATAGATATCGCTTTTATCCCATCAATGGTAAAAGGAATGGATGAACTTCGACTCATATGCTTGTTCTACTACTTGTTGAATCATACACAAATGCTCGTTTTATAACATCGAGTTACCAATGTGTTTTCGTACAATCAATGTATACCCAACTCATATTCAACAACTCATATCTCTAGGTTTGAAGAATATAAGGTATTATCGTCTCATGATTCACTCGTGATAAAATCCATGAAGTGATTCAAATGAGTGTGGGTTGAATCCAATACTCGAATCTCATTCCAGGAGCACTCATGAACACTACAACCACTTTGTCCCAAACAAACTACATACCCTTCATGATAGTCTTGCCTCAATATCTACTTCCAAAGTATGATTGACTATGGATAGTTTGAATAACCTAGTTATTCGGGAAGTCAAAACATGCAAACTGAAACACAAGAATAACCAAATCCAATATGGTCTTAGAACTTATGAATATAAATAAAACACCTTTTATTTATCATCATATTGATTACACATTATTCATTGCATAATGTTTCAAATAATCAACTTAATACTTGAATTAAAACACTAGTCATGCCATGCTCCAAGCATGCACACTATGTTTGTCCAAACAATAGTTATGCCATACACCATGTATGCACACTATGTTTATCTATGATCCTTACTATGTGGAATAGATCAATTAAACATAATTCCAATGATTCTCATTTCACAATCCCAAGTCCTTACGGTAAATGTAAGAATTCCAAACTCCTGCCATTTACCGAAATCTGTTAGATTCTAAACTCATATGCATTGATCCTTTTGTAATGACTATGCACACAGTCACAAAGATTTGGCAACAAACATTACAAAGTCCTCAAATGGAGAACAATTCCATGGAAACGAAGTCTCAAATTCAAAGTACATTCCTTTCAACATCCTTCTTGCATTAAGTTTTTCTAATCTTACACAGATTGAATAACTTCCACATATTGAGACATTTTCATATTCCCATTTTGACTATCACTTATGAAGAAGAGTTGCATCTTTTTCAAAATATGTCAATATGGTCCTTTTCCAAAAATTTACACCATACTTCCAACTGTCCATGAGCAACCAATCTTTGGTAAAACCTCAGATTGTCCTCAGCAATTGCTTAATCAATTTAGTCATATTCAATTCTAGACCTTTTCCCCTCTTAATGCCCTAGACATTTGGAAAGTTTAGAGAGGATAAGTATTATAGCACATGTAATCGATCATATACCCGAAGCATATGTGACATGATTCATGATGTCTCACATAAAGATATGATCCTAGACCAATCTTTTAATACAATATTTTATTTTCCATGTTTCCATAATTCGACTATGAAGATGGATGCCGTAATCATAATCGAATTTTGAGAATGCAATATATATAGAATTTCCTTATGTTGAACCATTCCAACATAAAATTCATATACATATCCTTGACTAAAGATGATTAAAAATCTCAATCTAAGCTTTTAGAATTGAAATGAAGTATAATTTCCTTTCCCTTGATTATAGCAAAACAATTTTTTCCCAATAGAAACTTTTGTTTTCTATAATTAACATGGCTAACTTGCAACAATTATCGTAATTATCATGCTCCCACTAACACGATAATTATTAGCATAACACTTTTGCTCCCACTAGCTTTGACATGTACTCAGAAATCAGTTGGACTTCTAGAAATCAATACTTTATTGACTTTCTTACCAAAGTTCAGATTTCTAATACGAGATGCTTTGATAAAACTTTATCAAAATCATACACCTTTCTTTAGATAGCTCACATGTGTGTCTAAACAATTTTCAGAATGATGAAAAGGGATGTCGTAATGATAGTCTCAATTGTTTAAACCTTTATCATTTCTCACAAGTCCATGTTAGTGTGCCGGTTAACCACACACGCTCCACTAACGATTTTGAGAATTCAAATATCATAATTGCTATCTACTTAAGACCTACTTAGTGAAAGCGTTTCCTCACCATCATTTCCATGAATCGGAGAGAAACCTTATGAAAATTAGACTTTATGGTGTATGTGTTCCTCTCCATGTGAATTTATCAAAACCATAATCAGAAGACAAGGTTAGTGATAAATCCAAACTTATATGGATTGAACTTGTTCAATCTTAATTTCTTGCCATCTAGTAGCACAATGGCCTACCATGTTTTCCAAGTTGTTATGCAACCAATTGAGAACTCTTAGAACTAATGGGCACATAAATAGAAATATGTCAACATGATAGGTTATAAACCTCAAGTCGTGTGCTAGTGATAAACTACAAGTTTTATTCTTGATTAGATCTTGAAACTCTTCAGGATCTTCTAGACTCCTACTTTCCTCTTGACATATAAGACTCTCTTGCCAAGAGCCATTCCTTGACAAACAAATATTCAAGAGATAGTGTGGATTGTTATCAAGACAAACACTTCACACAATTGGACTTAGTTGGTCTTTGTTTTATCCAAAACATCATAACTTACTAATTTCAAATGTACAAGAGTAGAAAACATTTTACTCTTACATTTGACAAGTGTTATAAACCTTCTTTAAGATGTGTCACTCAAGTTAAAATCTTGGAGTATGACTCTAAGGATTGTTTTGGAACGAAGTATGACTCATCTTCTTAATTTAAACATTTCAACAATTCATGATTCCTCTTCTTAGCCATAGGAATGCACTAAGATGTCCTTAGAGGACCAATTATGATATGGTTTCTTAATCATTAATATGATCACAAAACATGATACTAAAGTATTCTCCCATCTTTTCAAATTTGAGAAACTTTTATCTTTCTGCCTAATTTGATTCTTCTCATTCGTTCTACCATACATTGAAACTTTTCTAATGTTTCAGAATTATACTTAAACTTGTAAGTATAACCATGTTTACTAAAATTTAGTAAATCATGACGAATATGTGATGGACTTGACCAGTGCACAAGAATGTGTATTCGATCCCTCAGTCCTTCACTTGACTAATATATACATGTGAATAAGGAATTAGTCTTATTTTTCCAAAGATGAAAATTCTCATACAATACAACTTCCATGATTCCAAGTTTCGGTCCAATTGAAACTTGGGTAATGAGAATCTTTCCTTATTTGGTAAATTTAGACACTACCACAAATGAAAGAATCAAATTCATATTTCCATTATTTCTAGAAACATACAAACATCAATTTTCCATAAATGCAATTGCAAGGAGATATAAAATAAAACAAAACAAAATTTTATTTATTTATGAAATGCGGAAAAATATTTTTCCTTACAATGCAACTTTAAATGAAAAC